AAGTAAAATAAAATAAAAATAAATATGATTAAGAAACGTCTATATCCAGATATCTTATCCAGATAATATTATTTGGTATGAAATATTATATTATATATAAATATAGTATGAAATATTAGAAATCACGCTTTTTTTTAAATATCTCAGTATCGAATCAGAACAGCGACATGAGCTACTTGCATCAAATATTACAATAACACTCATTAAAAGTCGGAATAAATGTATAATTGTTATCTTTATAAACTACTATAAAATGGCTGCTTTTAGTGTTCCGTAAATCTAATGTTAATAAACAGTTGATTGCTTAACCCTTTGACTGCCGCATCATCCAAATATAGATAACGAAATTACTCGGTTAGGTTTGAAAATTTATTCTTACGTTAATCCATTATAACTTTCTATAATTTTAGTAGGTTCTGAAAAATGTAATAACGTTGAAATTGATATTGATGTTATACAATCTAACTTTTCAATTTTAATTTGATTATGTAAAATACTTGAATTTTATGGAATTTTCGCAGTTGTAGTTTGTCAAAGTGTTAATCAAGACCCTAAAAATGATACAACTTCAAAATAATATATTTAGTTATGAACACTGAAATTAGAAAGTTAAGATTGACCCGAATGCTTAGTCCTTTTTCTATATCTCTGCTGCCGTGACACTAATTTCTTTTTAAACCTGATCAAAGAATGGTATCACTCATATGTGAACTCGTATATTACATATGTCAATCAACGTGTTAAAAACGTAAGCACACAAATGGCGTTACTAAAGAAATCAAGGCTTTCAAGAATTAATAAAAAAAAGTAGCAAAAAGATAACAGCGCTATTTGTGTATTCACTAATTTACATACGTTCTTCTACATTTATAGTTTCAAAATAAAAATTTCTACTAAATTCTTGTACGCTGAAGCTTTAACGCGATTCAGCTTTTTGCTTTTACTTTTAGTAGCTTTTGGTAAATAAATACAATTCTCCAGCAACATATTCTCCAAAAATTACGTCGCTAAATTCGTACAAATTAAAACGTTGTGCAAATCATTCAAAATTGCGTATTTTCCACCAAGATGATATCAAGAACATTATAGAATCTAATGAATCGATTCAATTGAAATTTCATACAGTTAATTTACGGTTCGTCCTTGCAAACAACGACATTTATCCCAGAACTTCAATTTGTTGTTGTCCATAAAACGTTGCGGAGAAAAAAGGAAAAACATTCCTTTCTCGAGCATAACAAAAATGAATGCTCTGACAGACATAGTTACGTACTAATTGGCAACGGCTTCAAATTAGATATGATTAGATATGCATAACATAGCTACAAAACGAGTACATATAATTTTATTATACAAAGATTCGCAATTTTTGAGATAATGGTAGTGTCCCATTCATTCTCCCACTTACTGTGAGAATTCATATCGCGTAAATTAATTTCGCGGGTAAAAAATCCGCGTAGATAAGTGTTATAATAAATCGCGTAAAAAAGGGACTCGCATTAAAAAAGGGACCATGTAAATTAAGGGTCGGGAATACACGCATATACAATAAGTTCTCCCTAATTTCTCTTCAGCTTGCAAACAAAATGGTCAATTTGGGAAGAGGAGATACGATTATTCGAGCCTTGCACCTCGTTTTTATAATTGTTGGCAATCGGTAACTATAAAAAATCAAGGGTCGGGTGTACATAAATATACAGTAAATTCTCCTCAATTTTCTTTCAGCTTTTAACAAAAATGGACGATTCGGGAGGAGGAGATACGATTATTCGAGCCTTGCACCTCACTTTTATAATTGTTGGCAATCGGTAACTATAAAAAATTAAGGGTCTGGTATACATAAATATATAGTAAATTCTCCTTAATTTTCTTTCAGCTTTTAACATAAATGGGCGATTCGGGAGGAGGAGATACGATTATTCGAGCCTTGCACCTCATTTTTTATAATTGTTGGCAATCGGTAACTATAAAAAATCAAGGGTCGGGTGTACATAAATATACAGTAAATTCTCCTCAATTTTCTTTCAGCTTTTAACAAAAATGGACGATTCGGGAGGAGGAGATACGATTATTCGAGCCTTGCACCTCACTTTTATAATTGTTGGCAATCGGTAACTATAAAAAATCAAGGGTCGGGTGTACATAAATATACAGTAAATTCTCCTTAATTTTCTTTCAGCTTTTAACAAAAATGGACGATTCGGGAGGAGGAGATACGATTATTCGAGCCTTGCACCTCACTTTTATAATTGTTGGCAATCGGTAACTATAAAAAATCAAGGGTCGGGTGTACATAAATATACAGTAAATTCTCCTTAATTTTCTTTCAGCTTTTAACAAAAATGGACGATTCGGGAGGAGGAGATACGATTATTCGAGCCTTGCACCTCACTTTTATAATTGTTGGCAATCGGTAACTATAAAAAATCAAGGGTCGGGTGTACATAAATATACAGTAAATTCTCCTTAATTTTCTTTCAGCTTTTAACAAAAATGGACGATTCGGGAGGAGGAGATACGATTATTCGAGCCTTGCACCTCACTTTTATAATTGTTGGCAATCGGTAACTATAAAAAATCAAGGGTCGGGTGTACATAAATATACAGTAAATTCTCCTTAATTTTCTTTCAGCTTTTAACAAAAATGGACGATTCGGGAGGAGGAGATACGATTATTCGAGCCTTGCACCTCACTTTTATAATTGTTGGCAATCGGTAACTATAAAAAATCAAGGGTCGGGTGTACATAAATATACAGTAAATTCTCCTTAATTTTCTTTCAGCTTTTAACAAAAATGGACGATTCGGGAGGAGGAGATACGATTATTCGAGCCTTGCACCTCACTTTTATAATTGTTGGCAATCGGTAACTATAAAAAATCAAGGGTCGGGTGTACATAAATATACAGTAAATTCTCCTTAATTTTCTTTCAGCTTTTAACAAAAATGGACGATTCGGGAGGAGGAGATACGATTATTCGAGCCTTGCACCTCACTTTTATAATTGTTGGCAATCGGTAACTATAAAAAATCAAGGGTCGGGTGTACATAAATATACAGTAAATTCTCCTTAATTTTCTTTCAGCTTTTAACAAAAATGGACGATTCGGGAGGAGGAGATACGATTATTCGAGCCTTGCACCTCACTTTTATAATTGTTGGCAATCGGTAACTATAAAAAATCAAGGGTCGGGTGTACATAAATATACAGTAAATTCTCCTTAATTTTCTTTCAGCTTTTAACAAAAATGGACGATTCGGGAGGAGGAGATACGATTATTCGAGCCTTGCACCTCACTTTTATAATTGTTGGCAATCGGTAACTATAAAAAATCAAGGGTCGGGTGTACATAAATATACAGTAAATTCTCCTTAATTTTCTTTCAGCTTTTAACAAAAATGGACGATTCGGGAGGAGGAGATACGATTATTCGAGCCTTGCACCTCACTTTTATAATTGTTGGCAATCGGTAACTATAAAAAATCAAGGGTCGGGTGTACATAAATATACAGTAAATTCTCCTTAATTTTCTTTCAGCTTTTAACAAAAATGGACGATTCGGGAGGAGGAGATACGATTATTCGAGCCTTGCACCTCACTTTTATAATTGTTGGCAATCGGTAACTATAAAAAATCAAGGGTCGGGTGTACATAAATATACAGTAAATTCTCCTTAATTTTCTTTCAGCTTTTAACAAAAATGGACGATTCGGGAGGAGGAGATACGATTATTCGAGCCTTGCACCTCACTTTTATAATTGTTGGCAATCGGTAACTATAAAAAATCAAGGGTCGGGTGTACATAAATATACAGTAAATTCTCCTTAATTTTCTTTCAGCTTTTAACAAAAATGGACGATTCGGGAGGAGGAGATACGATTATTCGAGCCTTGCACCTCACTTTTATAATTGTTGGCAATCGGTAACTATAAAAAATCAAGGGTCGGGTGTACATAAATATACAGTAAATTCTCCTTAATTTTCTTTCAGCTTTTAACAAAAATGGACGATTCGGGAGGAGGAGATACGATTATTCGAGCCTTGCACCTCACTTTTATAATTGTTGGCAATCGGTAACTATAAAAAATCAAGGGTCGGGTGTACATAAATATACAGTAAATTCTCCTTAATTTTCTTTCAGCTTTTAACAAAAATGGACGATTCGGGAGGAGGAGATACGATTATTCGAGCCTTGCACCTCACTTTTATAATTGTTGGCAATCGGTAACTATAAAAAATTAAGGGTCTGGTATACATAAATATATAGTAAATTCTCCTTAATTTTCTTTCAGCTTTTAACATAAATGGGCGATTCGGGAGGAGGAGATACGATTATTCGAGCCTTGCACCTCATTTTTTATAATTGTTGGCAATCGGTAACTATAAAAAATCAAGGGTCGGGTGTACATAAATATACAGTAAATTCTCCTCAATTTTCTTTCAGCTTTTAACAAAAATGGACGATTCGGGAGGAGGAGATACGATTATTCGAGCCTTGCACCTCGCTTTTATAATTATTGGCAATCGGCAACTATAAAAATGAGCCGCGAGGCTCGAATAATCGTATCTCCTCTTCCCAAATTGTCCATTTCTATTTACAAGCTGAAGGAAAATTGGGGAGAATTTACTATCCACCGTTGGTAACGAGTATACCAGAATAGAAAATTTACATATAAAAATTTAAAAATTTATATATGAATAATTAATTATATATGAAAATTTAAAAATTTATATATGAATAATTAATTATATATGAAAATTTATATATGAAAATTTATATATACCAGAATAGAAAATTTGCTCTAGTACTGAACGTGACAAAGTAAACGACTTTTGTATTTTAAATTTCTAAGTATCGTCTGCTTTCTATGGGAATCGACACAATATCGAGCAGTGCGATTAAAAAAGATGAATTACATTTACTATTAAAATTGTATTTACTAGGCGGTGGAGAATGGTAAGGAATTTGCCAGGAGCCTTGGAACGCATGCGCGCATTTAGTATCATCTGCCTCAAACATGGCGACTGTGGTATCGTTGTCACAGAGAATACCTTTGTTATCCCGGCATTTTCGTGGTGCCAGGCGTTCGTACAGCTCGTGGCGTGGCGACAGTGTTGTGAAACAATGGAAAAACGGCACTGGACATTTAGTGGCAGCCTCCATCGCCCTTTTTATCGGATACAAATACACGAAGCCCAACGTGGTTCACGCCTTGAAATCTCGAAAGGTATTTAAACGCTGGCTCACGTTTTCTCTGTTTTGCTATTCTCACCTTCCATAATTCACACGTGTGTACTCGTTCGAAGACCGGCTGTCGTCTGACTATCATCCAACAATTTTAACAACCGCGGCGCTCTGTCGCTCCGAATAATTTAGTCAATGGATACAAATGATCGAGTTCTCTTGTTTATCGGAATCGTCGTTTTGGAGGGGTCATTCCTCGATGACTAGTCCAATTGACCTTGAATGATCCGGAATTGACACGAGTTTGATTGCATCAGCGAACGGCGATATCTTTCGACGAGAGAAACGGTTAGGCAACAATGGCAGTGACGTTTCTTGATCGTGGATTGTAGGTTAGGAGTGATTCTGAGTGTATAAATATAGAATTTGACTCGTAAACACGCCAAAATGGACACCACAGTGAAAAATAAAATATAATTGTTCAAATCTAATGTAATACAAATTTCTCTACATATGAATAGTATAATAGTGTATAAAATAAAAGAGTTCACAAGGAAAATGAAACAAATTTTAATATTATTTGCCAATTTGTCAACTATAAATCATTGTTTTCGTTAATAGTTCAATTAAAATTGAGTTCAATTTGTATTTGATTTGAATTAGTGCCTTTCTATGAATCTCTCTCTCTCTCTCTCTCTCTCTCTCTCTCTCTCTCTCTCTCTCTCTCTCTCTCTCTCTCAATTTGAGCAATAGAATAAGATATATTATTGAACTTACTATA